TGAAGCTGTTGGAACGCACAGGTTGACAGCGATTGGAGTTTGATCATCCACTAGGTACCAGGCCAACTCATGGTAAGCTCACTGATGGAAGCCGGTGCGGAAGGCATCGTCCTTCCAACTGACGGCAGTTCTTTGCAGATATGGATCCCCATCTAGAAGACATCTTGGGGGTTGTGCCATCTACTCTGAAACCACTCCATAGTATTGAGAAGCGTGAGAAGCTTGCAGACCTGTGACCAAGGTGTGGAAGCTTCGCTTCGTGGCCAAGCGAGGACGCTTACAGGGGTGGAAGAGGTCCGTCACGTGGCTGTGGATCAAAACCGGGATACCTTGGTTGACCCACCGACGTGACTTGCACTCGAGATCCTGCGCTTCCCAAGGGCCCTTCACCATAGGGTGGGTACCTGGGAGTTGGGGAACGTATCTACGAAACGTTAGTGTTGTACCCACGTGTGCTAAATGTAATTTCGTTGTGAAAAACACAAGGAATGCACCCAGATGGTCAAGCCAAATGCTGTTAGACCTTCAGGTTTTGACCCATCCACAATGTGTTTTTGAGTCACGGTCATGCAGTTGATCACTGCACCTCAGCAGCCAGCGACATACGTCGTCATACAAAAGTGATGGGCTATGGCATTTCAAGAGGACGAATGCGTGGGCAGAACAAAAAGGAGCACATGTCCAGAGAGCTGGCAATCGAACCACAAAAAAGGATAGTCAATAGTCCTTCGCAACTGAAGGTTTCGAATGGTTTATTTTGGCTGTTGAGAGATGATCTTCTTGCCTTTTGCCATGCACTTCAGGAACTTCCTGATCTGGACCCCTCGAGGAAGACCCGAGCTGATCCCCGGTGGAACCACGGTGGCACGACGCATGGCGAGTACTCTATAGGATATGATAGTACTCTATAGGCTCATGCTGAATAAGCACCGGATGTGTGTTTTATCATGGAAGTAAGTCTTGTATGAGACTTGTCACCTAATAGGTGCAACTGATGTGGATGAATCTGCCAGCGTTTTCTTGCATTCAGCTTCCCTTGGATTCGCGTCTTTCATCCAAAGATCCACCGTCCAATTCACTCCCCGAACGTCTCTCTCGGTCCGCCAAGATCTAAGGAATCATCGAATGGGGTGGTGATACGGATGTGTATGGAAAAATACGGAAACCTCCCAATTTGACCCCGGTGGAAGGTGTGGGAAATAGAGTCTACTCAGTCAGGGCCAGGGGGTCTCCTCCCACACCTGCCATTGGAGAACCCAAAGCCGTTGTGCACCACCCCCCCAACCCCCACCTCAACGCCGCAGGAGACAAAGAGAAGGACCGTGGTTCGACGTGGTTTGGATCAGGGGTCGATGTGGTTTCCTGCGCCGCCGCTCGTCAAGGGGTTTTGGTTTACAATGGTTTGCGAAAAGTGCACAACTTTTTCCAGTTATACCACAGAGTTTTTGCAGAAGTCAACACAGGTCGTGAGGTCGTGCTCAAGAGCAGTAGTGCGATTTAACCGAACTCAGTTATGCCGATGAACCGTGGATCGAGGCATTGTAGATGTTGTGCACGAGTCGACCTGATTTTGTATCCTCACCGTGTTCTCCCTCTCCCGTGATTGGTTTGGTTCGGGGATCATTGCTGCAACATGATTCATTATACTAGGTTCAGATTGCTAAAACATGTTTCCGACACCCCTTTGAGGGGCCCGTGTCATTTGTACCCAGTATAGTTGTTGTTTTGTTGACGGATTCATGACCAATTCGCTAAGAGTCTAGAAGGAGACTCGAAAATGTGGCCGCTGCCTGCTCGAAGCGAGCGATGAATCCCATGGGTGGTCCAAGGTCGGTTTGGACCATGACCGCTTGGGCAACACGCGCCATTTTCGCCCTGACCAGGAGACCCAGTTGGTGGCCAAGTGGGTGAAGCCAAGCACGGAGCTGCGCCGCTGCTCCTATGTCAACGAGAAACAGTCGCGGGCCTCAGTTCCGTGGGTTTTTGGAGAAGTAGACGTACTAGGAGAGCACAGTGATATAATCCCTGTGGGAATAAACCGTATTATAAAATGGTGGACCCCGTTCAGAAACCGTTTTATCACGAAAGGTAGCTTGAGCTACCTGAGTTCTCCTTGCTTTAGCAAAAATGTATTACAATCAGGAGTTGGGATTGTGCATTGAGTTTGGTCCTGTAAGAGTTGATTCTGTTCGTCGGGGGGGGGGGGCCCTTCCCTGGATCAAATCCCCCCTGCGCCGGTTCACGCCGTCATGGACTTCTACCAGGGTTACTTGTGATTGCCTGCTACCTTTCGTTCACCCCCTCCTCTCTCAAGTAGCTATAAAATGGGGGACACGGGTTAGAGGCGTAATTCCCAGGGGGATGTGATATAATATATATATATATACATATATATATGTTACAATATAGTTGCTTGAGCCCTTCTACGTTAAATGATATGGGTGATGTAAGAACATGCTGTAGAGCGGTTGTTTTATGTCAGGTGATGATGGTCATGGGACAAGGCATGTTTAATCAAAGGTACTGTACTAGATCAAACATCCTGTCCAACTGTTACTTGTTTCGCAGCACGGTGGAAGCCTTTGCTGCCCTCGTTCTCCATGTCAATTAACAGAATGTTAACTTTTCCCGGCTCCAGCTCACTGCAAAACTTTTCAGCATGTGTTGTGCTAAAAGCTTGCTCACTCCAACCAAGCCCATGTCTGCAGGTTCTATCTTTCCGCGGGACCCTTAGTGCGCAAGGCTGGCGCGAGGCTGCCGCACATGCTGATGTGCCGCCTGGCTCAGCAGTTGAAGGGGCCTGGGGTACCTGATTGGGTCGATGGAGAAACACAACACGGACAAGGTTTGTGTGCTTGGTTGGTGTTGTTGTATGTGGTTGTGCTCCTTTTTTTACTTTCTGACATGTTGTGATGATGCTGGATTCAGCGCAAGACAGATATTTATTCATGGAAGTTTAGCCTATTCAACAACACTATATAAATATGCAGATTTTATAACATAATTATGTGTACCAGTTGCTTTTGAGCCTGGAGTAGCGGTTGGCTACGATACTGACTGAGGTGATGAAAGCCCAAAGGATGGCATTTGCTTCCTCTTCGATGACCTTACGGCCCGGGGGTTCGGCTGTTGCCAGAAAAACTTTGTGGAACAGGTCTAAACTGAGAAAGCTACGAACGGGGCTCCTGGCATCGCTACTAGGAGCAAGGACGCTACGAACGGGGCTCCTGGACGTACTAGCTCGCGCTGAAATGCGGGTCAGGTAAGGAAGCGGCGAACCACATGTAAACTGATACGACATGATACGACATAAACTTCAGATTCGCGCTCTTTCCGTGACTTGGAGGGAAGGACATGTTTGACAAATCGTATACCGGGACCATCCTGTCGGGGTGTCCTGGCTGGACTACCCCACACTACCTATAGGCTTCCTATAGGAAACACCCCTTGGATGGCCCAGGTATGTTTCTGTTTTTCGTTGTCCCTTTCCGTGCTGCCGGGCTAGACTCCTCAGACGAGGTGGACTTCCCCTTGCACCCGGAGAGCTTGGACGTCCGCGGTGCACGAGCGAGTCTCTCCTGGCTGGCGCGGTACCCGTGGGGGAAGTGAAACAGGCCCTGCCTTAACCTGGTTTTGCTTATACTTGTTGTTTTCCCTTTTGGGTATAGTACATTGGTGAATATGTGTATTTCCTGGTTCCTGAAGCAAATCCAAGTTAAAGAGATGCTGGACATGGAGTCTAAAAGGTTTTGCTGGGCATGGGAGAGATGGTCAGAGATGGGTGGGAAAGGGCCATCATGGACAATCTCTCAAGAACTACTCCATTTTTTGATCTTTGCACGAAGTGTGGCTCACGCTGAGACAGCCCGCAATTCCAAAATAAAACTGGCCGAGCCTTGTTTGCTGCCAGCACAGACACCAATTTACACATGCAACACACAGGCAGATAATTCTCTCCAAACCGTCAAACTGTCAGGCTCGCTTCCACGCCAGCTTTTGGGAAGCTGATGCTGCAGGCGACTCTGCAGAGAGCCCGGCCATGCTCTGGTGTTGTGGGGTGGGGAGAATGCTCCAGGACCTCATAAGTGTTTGACTCTAAATGTAAAGAAAACACAAATTATGTTAAACAACCATTCAGTTGCGTTGGCCCAGATTGACCCGCTCCCATCAGATGAACGGACCAGCCCCCATCAGATGAACCAACAGGGAGCAAACTCTGGGTCAGTTGTCTTAGTATGTCTTAGTATTTGACCGGACTTTGTTTCAGTTAGTATAGTTAGTATAGGGAGTAGACCAAGCACTGCAGGGATCCTGTTTGCGATAGTGTCGCCATGTTCCATCTCCTCTACCACGAAAAGCCTCACAAGCTGCGATCAAGTATTCCCATTCATCCAATTCGTTTTTTTGCAGGATCCGCTTGGATCCACATACCAACTTGAGAGGGTGATGTGCTCGACATGAGTCGGTTCCAAGCACCTTGGAAACGGAGGTGTCAAGACGATCATTCCACTCAGTGTCAACGCTTGGATACGATTGATAAGGATAATTAGAATGACCTCAAGTATCCTCCAGAAGAAAGGGATCTCCCCAGAAAAGTATATCAAGATTAGACACGTAAAATGGACCTTTTCAGGACCCGCCTCCACAGACGCAATGCTTGACAATGGCCAGTACGAACAAGAGTTGTCGTTGTCGCATTCCTGCCGATGTGTCACTCACCTATGTGTCACTGGCCTCGCAGTGGCAGCAAACCAAATCATAGATCCATCCACCAGCTGGCGAAATGCCCCCGCACGCTGTTGAGGCCCGCGTAAACTATCCCAGACGCTCCATGGGACTGTCATATTTACCTACGTTGGGGTGGTTGACCTGGGGATACCTTGGGTCAATGTAGACAAGCAAATCTAGTCCCATATGGAGTTTATTTACAAGGATCAATTTGTTCTGATATCGAGCCGATCACCAGCAAAGGGGTCTTTTGAGGCTCTTTCCCTGCTGGGATGACCACCTTGGCTGACTATTGGGGGTCCGGGCCGCCCAGCCAAAGAGGAGGGACCGAAACCAATTGAGATCCTGATCGTGTGGGAGTAGGTCGAGATATGCGGCAGCCGTGAGAGGTGTGACATAGTGGATCGTGGTGACATTCACATCATGTTGGGCATTAGATGTTTCGACCTAGTTTGCAGAGGTGTGTTGGACAATCCATCCAGAGCGTTTCAATCGCTGTTGATGGATCACATTGAAGACATACCACCGGAGGACACCCCATACGGATCGGTTGTACCAAAGGTTTTTATTACCGGCACCAGGAGAGCCCTGATGCTCAACTTTGTCACTCACCAGCAGCTTTTGGCACGCAGATGAAGGATGTCTTCGCTACGGGCTACCGGATTTCAGCAGCATGAAGGATGTTCAGTCCACTTCTTGAAATAAACTCATAATCACCATTAATCACCTAATCATGTCTCCTGAAAACGCGTTGGTGAATACAGGTCACAACGCTCCGTCCACCCCGCGTGAATCCGCCGCGGAATCCACGAGGCTGGCCAAGGGCGAGAACGAGGAGCGACTCGGCTCCGTGGAGCCTCGGAGCTAAACGGCAACGTGGACGGTGGCGGTGACCGGGTGGTCGTGACATGGTGATTTTTTAGGAGGGTTTGAGGTGCAGGGCTAGTGGTTTGATATGGCGCCATGATGTAGCTTGGATCGGACAGATTTGGTCAGGTTATGGGTCAACATCAAAATTTAAAAGACATGTTATTGAATCAGTAGATGTCCGTGCTTCCACGGTTTGAGCCGAGCAGAACAAAAAGCAAAACCCCTCCTGCCAATAAATGCCGCAAAACCGTTTATTGGAGAAGCTTAAGCAGCCCCTAACACAAACCCTTTTGCAATTGAATGATGTTTAATCTCAATCTGAGCTTGGAAATGACAACCCCAATACATATATAATCACATATATATATATATAGCTCAAAAACACGCAAAACCACTCAAACCACCCAATTTATTTTCTGCTATATATGTGTTTGTCTTGTTTGCTGCAGCTTCTAACGCGCATGCGTTCGAGGCGGGAGCCTTGAATGCTTCCAGCAAGGTCCTCAAGGTTTCACCGCAGCGGAGGGCGATGCCACGACCGGTGTCACTGGTGCAGAGTTGGTGCAGCCAGAACAGGTTTGGTCGTGTTAACCTCACGGTTTGGAAGAGTACTGTATGTAAGTTGTGGAACACGCTTTACCTTAGGGGTGTCCTATTACCTGCAACAGTCGGTAAACGATGGTCACTATTTTGGAAAAAGGCCTTTACCAACCAAAACCTTTGTATTTCCAGGGTCAGCCTCTTAATTCTCCAGGTGGCGTTCACAAGCGCACGAAGCTGAGCCATTCAAGTCCAAGCAGATAGGAAGCAAGTTGGAGGAAAGAATGTGGCGCAACCTCCATGTCTCCAATGCTTTCTATTTTATCAGTTATTTGGATTCTTCGTTGGGCTCCCTTAGCTGGAGCAGAAAGACCACCACCCATTCTTTCTTTGATTTACCTTTCTACTAGGCGTCTGGAGCTTCTCAAAAACCCGAACCATTACAACCATGGTGTTCTCCAACGTCTCTCTGTGTCATCTTGGCGATGCCAGGCGCATGGCGTTTGGGAGGTGGCCAAGACTTTGGGGCTGCTCAGCAGCACCCGGCGACCTTCCGATCCTGGACCTTGCAAGACTTTGGGGGTGCAAATTGGTTCAGATCCACCAGTGTGGTGTGTTTCTGTTGGTGACTCCTTGGAAGGTGGCGGTATATTGATACACTGCTGGTACTCGTACCATTTCTGTCCATTTGTGCTATCACCGAAGTCCCTGGAAGATGATTGGCAGTCCGTAGTGCATCTTAAGTGCGACCAATTCTTACCTCCAACTGCCACCCGCAAGCACCAATCAAATCCCCATTGCACCACAGTGGTCCACAATGGTCTCGGGTAGTGAAGACGTGGTCAGTACCTTCGTTCCACCGGTCCGAACCGAACAGTGCGACGCGGATCGATCGAGGCCTCGCCTCCAAGCCGCCGCCAAGCCGTTGGACGCCGTGTTTGGACCTTTGAAGCCAGGAGAGTCGCAGACAGAAAGAGAGAGAGAGAGAGAGCCATGCAAAGCTACGAGATTCCCAAGAAGATCAATGAAGAACCAACCATAGTCCATAGGTTGGAAGACAATGAAGAAGTGTCTTTGCCAAGCAATGTTTAGAGTTTAAAGCCTGGAAGATCCAAACAAACCCAAACGAACATGTCGGATCATGTCGGTAAAAGTTTGAGGGGACAAGATCCAGAAGAACCACTTGTCCGCATTTACATCCCGAGGGCCCGAGATGTAGAAGAACCTGGAAACATGCACGACATAGGTGCACCAGAGTCATAACATCTAAACCATTATATATATATATACACATAGATATTATACCCGAAAGAACACACCACCACAAGTGTCCACCTCATTTGATATCAACGAGCAAAGTCATTGCCAGGTCACAAAACAAATCCCGAGGACAAACACATAAACACCAATGAACAAACGTTTGAATCTCATTAGTGAACAAATCTAGCTTAGCAAACCGCAGAACGTTCGGAAGATCATTTGATGCAGATGATTTGTTGGGACACTTACAAGGTATATATAAAGAGAGGATCACTTGGATGGCTTGTGGAGCTTATATAGCATCAAGACAGATTCAGACTTCAGATCCTAAATTTTGTGGCTACAGCTCAGAAACGCCAAATCCTCTGGTGAATTTCCAACTGTACGTGCGGAGCAATCTTGCCACACCTACTGTATCAACATGTTTCACCACCGATCGATTGTGAACTCCTTCGAGCAATACATATTAATGATATGCGCTAGACTAGCCTCAGCACCACAATTGGATGGTCAAGTACATGGGCAGGGGGGTTGTGAACATCTAAGTATGAACCAACCGACCGGGGTGGTGCTGGCCGACATCTCAGACGAAATTTTCCTTCATCCCTTGCGGATCCGATCGGCGGATCCCTTGCTACGGATCTCCAAGGCTACGGAAGAGCAAGGGCTTCGTCAAGTACCGGACCTTGTTCCTCGCAAGGTTTTCGTGGGCAAAAAGCGCGTGCGACTCACTCGCACGGGCAGGCGGATTTCGAGGGGTTTCAATGTTTCGGGATGAGACACCGCCCGACTGGGCCACCCAACTAGAGCCGACCGCGGACCCTCCTGGGAAGGGTCTGGGGTTGAACCAATCCCTAGGTTTTGAGGGACCAAGGGCTGTTTGGAGCGCCTGGGTAGCACTTCGATTTGGAGATGGACAATGTTTGGAACAAAACCGCAGCTTATGAGAACTCCACCGACTCCATCGGGAAAAAACAGACTTCACGTCCTTCTCCGAGGCTCCACGGAGACTTCAAAACGGCCAACTTCTTCCTTCGGGACACCGAGGACGGCTGCCCGGGCCGGTGCCTGGAGGAGATGAATATCAATCAGTAGTAGGACATGGACGGATGGGACGTGATGTGGAGTTGGTTGAAGGTCGCAGAAGGCACCTAGATCAACAGATACAAGAAGAGGATCCACAAATAAGATAGGATCAGTTTAAAAAAGTGAACAATCCTGAGTGAGTAGAATCAGGGGACCTCTGGTCTCCTTTGGTCCTTGGTCCTTTTCCTGGTCCGCTGGCCTCGACTTCTGCCAATGCAATGCGCCTGCCAACACAGGTTCTTTTTGAGGTGACCATGCCCTCGCCTATGTCATTATATATATATATAAAATCCCCCTTGGAATTTCCTCTAAAGAATCAGCCAACCCGGGTTGTCAAAAACCAGGCCATTCTTTAGAGTTCACCATGCATTTTTTAGACTAGTACCAGGTGTTCTGATTCTTTAGGGGGAGTCCGGTGCCACAGGTGTGTGCGCACTGTGCTCAACGTGTTCTGATTTTTTAGGGCCAGTGCCCAGTGTGTGTTGGCAGAGTCCTGATTCTTTCAGCTGACATGTTGGTATGGGCACTGTGGATTGAGGATTCTTTAAGGTGGCAGGTGGCAGGTGGCCTCCTAAAGAATCAGACAGTCCAAGAGGGAGCCCGAATTCCAAGGGGGTTTATATAATATGTGTGTGTTACAAACGTCATTTCATTGTCCTTTCGTGGTTGACAGGGCCCACCCTTGCTTTGTTTGTCCAACCTGTCTATCCTTTCGTTCTCTTTTGTGTTTTGGTTTGCTTTGCAGGCAGGTGCCTGATGCTTTGTCGCCCTAACTTTCCCTAGTCTCTTTTCCTTTCATTGCTCACTAAGAATTGTTCTCTGTTGATCCTTTGGTTTTGATCCCCATGGAATATGGTTCTTATTGTTAATGTTATTCCTATATTTGATCCCTCACCCGTCGCAGAAGCCCCCTCACCAAGAAGGGTTCTTGCATGTTCTTTCCATTTGGCCTCATCCGTCCTTCAGGTGGTCCTGTCCTTCGCATCCGGCCGGTCCTTCAACGCATCCGAGTGAAGACGATGCTTCAAGGTGTGGTTCTTCGAGACTCTCTTTGGTTCACTCCATTTTTAGCGCAAATTTGCATTCCACGCGTGGGCATGGACAGATCGCAAATTCCAGCCGTTCTTGATTTGGACATGTCCTTCCTACTCTCAAGCTCAGGCCTTTCGGGGATATGTATTAACGCCTAATATTAACATGTGTATATAGCTGTTATATATTATAACTATACAGATCTTATATATTATATATATGACACTTAATATACCTAGATCTTCAGTCCGGCACTTTTACAGGGTCCGGCGCTTTTTCCAAGTCACCTTATGTGGATTCTCAAGGCTTTGCATTCTTTGTGGTCTGCATTTCTTTGAAGGTAAACCCACTACTGATGCAATGATTTTGTTTGCAATGTGTGCTCGTTTGCCTGTTCCGCTGTTTTCTCATTCCACCTGTTTCAGCATGGTTCACACTGGATCAATCAGATCCGTTTAGGTGATCTTCTATAAATGAAATCGGATGAAGCCGGTACAGTGCGATGCACCTATTGAAAGACCCAAGTGGGCATACCTAAGCTGAAAGAGCATAGGCAAAAATGTATTCCCATTGTTTCAGGATGTCGGGGCGCTGGGATATAGTTCTAGCTGCGCAGGTTTGCAGAGCCTGCCGGACAAGTTTTGGGCTGTGGAACATGTGTTGTTCAGAATCTCAATGTTTTGCAGAGAATTGTCAAAAACTAGCACGTCGTAACTCCGGCGTAATTTCCCGTAATTCCGGCGTAATTTCCCGTAACTCCGGCGTAATTTCCCGTAACTCCGACGTATTTTTTTGGACTGAGTCTTCTGCAGGCTTTGACTTTGAAAAGTTTTTCAAAGAAGAGTTTTGACAGGAACCATGAGATCTGCTACTTTATTGGGGGGCCGTCCTGAGGCAAGCTTTAAAGAAACATTAAGAAGCATAAGAATCATGGAGAGCAACCCACTTTGGAAAAATGAAAACACACTTTAGAGACACGGTTGCAGAGAAAGATGAGTTGATTGCCACATGCTCCTTGGTTTCTTCTTGGAAGTCTTTGCTTGGGCACAAGTTGTTTTTATTTTGTGATGGTTTTGCTCTTAGGCCATTCGGAAGATGGGCGAGGGCAATGGGAACGGGAAGGTTCGAGTGTGCTCCAGAAAAACGACTCGCGGCGCAAAGGCAATTTCCTTGTGTATGACCCAACCTTTTATCATCTCTGTTTTGCAGAATCTTGGATCCGGATGTTTTTTCAGGTCTCCGGCATTTTTTTCGGAATCCGGCGGAAAATTTTGCCGGATTGAGGTCCGGCACTTTTTTCCGCCCAAAGGAGGATCCAGGTATGGCACTTAATAATCTGAATCACAGGGTCACCCAATCCACCCACCCTATCCTCTACATCGGCGATGGACATCGCCCGACTCCTCGGACTGGAGGAGGGCGTCGAAGCAGCAGTGGTGGACTTCGAGTTCTCGGGGCCTGGCTTGGGCGCCGTGAGGGGAACCCAGAGACCGCTGTATACGGAAGGATGGAGAGTCGCGACTCGTGGGACGTCTTCGTGGGGTCGAGGTGTTCTTCGTCATCCGAACCAGCACTCTGGGGGTGGAAACACCCTGCGGGAACAGACTGGCGGACTGGTAGCTTGCAAAGCGAATACGTGTTGAAAAGTCTGCAGCCTTCCAAACCACAAAATATACATGCGGAACCCTGGGCAACAACCATTTTGTGTGCTGTGGTGGTATTATTGATCAGAGCTAGAGGTCCCTTTTTTGAGCATCTCACACATGAACTGGGGGGTCTACTGGGTCGCGTTCACCATCCATGGTTTTGAGTTAGATGATCCGTTCACCTTCAAGCAACCCAGTCGGGGATCCCTTCCCCAGTCGGGGATCGCACATGCAAAGGATGGACCCTTTGACTTCAATGGCTTGTAACGGTTTATGACGATTTGTTCAGACTATGATATTGATCTTTTCGGCATCGTTTGGATCAAACATGATCAAACCAGTGATCAAACCATATTTGCTCGATGTCAAGGGTTTATGGTCACAGATGTCACAGTGTATTTTGCCACAGATGGAGACGTGCTCACCTCAAACGGACCAAATGGGGGGCTGGGAATCGCGAGAACCAAACGCCCGGAGGCGAGCCACGCACGGCTCAATGAATATTGAGATCTCAAAATGTATATCCTGAACAAAGTTTTTAGAATATGTGTGCTATTTAGTACCTTGGCGTTGTCAATTACATGAGAACTCTCACTGACTTTCCAACATTCTCTCCACATTGATTTGGCTGCAAACATCACTGAAAGCTTGATTACAACCCCAAAGAAAGCATTACCTTCGACCAGATTTCAAGCGCCGCGGAATGCAGGCTTTCGACTGATTTTTTCACGTGCTTTCAGGGTTATCCGCCCTATTCGGCTCATGTGTTCCTTGTCCGCTGATGTAGTTCCCTATGGGAACAGTGAGGGTGAACAAGCGCATCGCCAATTGCATCCGTGACCTCAACGACGGGGGCTTCTTTCAGACGCCCCTTCGCTTGGGCGTCGTGGCCAGAAGCTTGGCCAAGCTTGATGTGGAGAACGCCTTGCAAGTGCTGCAAGGGGTGGCGGATGCTGCCTCCTCAGACCCGTCCACACACGAGAACCCAACAGCAAAGGTCTTGTTGGAGGCGGCGCTGTGCGTCATCACCCGAAAGAGTCGAATGATGAAGCATCCCATTCGTTTGAACCAAGAATGAAGCATCATTCTCAAGAGATGAATAAATATCTTGCCCAAACCGATTTCAATTGGTCTTAGGTTCTCATCATCTACAATGTACAAATTGAGTAGATGGCCACCAACCGGCATGTCCAGAGGATTCATCTCTCTCTAATCTAAGCCCTGCCAGGCCTCATGGCTGGCAGGTGTCGATTTGACGGAGGCCCAGGCGATTGGGCGATTGAGTTGAGCTGACTCGTGTTTTGATTGGTTGGTCAGCTAACTACATGGCGGTGCTCACCTGGTATCCATTGGAATGTGAAGCGGTCTAGTTTAAGTACATTGTTTTTTGGTTTGTAATCCTTACCACAGTGAATGTTCAGTACTATCCGCACGCAATTACTTGTATCTACAGGGTGGCCGTGTTTAGGTGCCCACTGTCATCCGTAGCCTTTCCAGCTTTTGCACTGATGGAAGGGCCCAAAAGGGTCAAAGGGATCCCCAGCTGCATCATAATCTCCAGTCCAGTTCACTGAGTGTTTCTGAGTACGGAATGAGAAAATGTATCTACATTAAGATTATACAGGAATCTCTATTGGCGGTTCCCTCATTCCTTACTGAGCACCTGCCCAATTCAGGGTTGGAGCTTTCAAGGACTATACCGGCATGTTTGTTGGTCTCTTTGCCATGTCATCTTTCCAGGGTGAAAAGACTATTGAACACACGTTGGCTGGAACATTACATTTAAAAGATAAATGGATGGATGGATGGATAGACTAGAAAGTGGTGAAAGTATAAATACGTGTTGAAATGCTTCCCAAGCTGGACCTATCTTCAATTCAAGCTTTGTTTAATTTAGCTGTGGGCTCTTTTCCTTGGGCTGGACCTATCTTCAAATCACGTTGACAACTGTGACTCAAGAGTTGCAGAACTGAATTCTGCACCAGAGTGCCACAAACAAATCACCGGCAGTACCGGTCTGGTGCCAGCATCAGGAACCGCAACTTCAGTCGCCTGAAGGCGGGTGACAAGCAGGGAGCCTTCCCTGCGTTTGCTCTCAACACAAGGGAATTTGAAAACCCGTATATAGACGTTTCGTCAGACGACTGGATCAGTGTGAAGTTCATGGTTTCTTGTGGATGGTCCTGCATTGATTTTATTTGTACCTCATGACGTTTCTCATAGTTTCTGTATAATTTTTGGAGTTTCCGGACAATTCGTGAAGTTTATTTTAAATTGTAGATGGTTGAGTCTTCAAACTTAGAAGAATGGCTATAGATTTGCCATCGATATGGACATACCACATGATGGTGATTTAAGCGTCACCTGATGTTACATCATGTGACCTTTGATTTGAATCCGTTTGTTGCGGCCACCAACTTCAACATAGGGGAAGTCAATGCGTTTGTAGTTTCATATAGTTTCAATACATCACATTGGTCCCGTATTTGACGCCAAGGCAGGGGTTTGTTGTTATGTGCCATGATCCTCTTTGGGGTATCGCCGGTATGGCTTTGTGTTTTCCTCGAACGGATTCATCTCTTGACGAAGACCAGCCAGGCACTGCGGCGACCTGCCCGAACTCCGCAGAACTGCCGAGTTCACGCGAAGCCACGACGGCGGACACCGCAATCGAGGTGGGAGAGTGTGACTCATCCGTGGCACAAAACAGGGAAGATGTGACTCACTCGTGAGGTTGCAACAGTTTTCTCTTCAAGACCAGTCAGAATTCCGTATGTTGATTTAGGGGGGTTGCATTTTACGCGAATTGATTTGATTGAAGGTTTGTGCTTGTGCTTGAGCTACGTACTGACTGTAACTACTTCATCTACTATGTCAACTCCGGATGAATTAGCCCCTTCCCGCCCCAGAAGGTCTATATAGAAGGTTTGGCCGCAAATAATCTGATCTGGAGGAGGGACCCAAAGACTTGTATAATTTCTCCATGAGGAGAAATCCTTTTTGTTGGGGAAGGGTTCTGGGCGTTGGTAGTGAAAAATGGGTCAAAAGGCGTCCTTTGAATTGAAAGGTGGTTCAAGTTGCAGGAAATCAATCCATCAAAAGGTAGAATGAATACCGTTAAAGTAACTACTGTGTGGTGGTTTTAGATACCTGTATGTTTTCGACCTTGAACCCACAGGGATGATTGAACCCACAGGTCCTCATCATCTTTTGAGTTGAAACCACCAACTACAGAGAATATACCAGGACCCTCCAAGGGGTGCCCTGTCTGGAAGCCTATAGGTAGTGTGGGGTAGTCCAGCCAGGACACCCCTTGGAGGGTCCTTGGTCGAGTATATGCATATGAAGCCACCGTCGTTTCACCACCGACCAAGGCCAAGGCAGCACGGCCCAGCCGTGCCAACGGCTAAGTCACGGCTAGTTCACACCTCCGTCTTCGGTCACGGAAGAAGTTCTAATGAACGACACCTACATGAACGACCAAAGGGTGTTGAAGGGTGCCCCAAAAGTGTGCCAGGGAAACTGCTTGCAAATGGCCTCTAAATGGTGATACTTGGCAGGAGTGTGGCGGATTCACATTGGTTTCTAAGGTAGTTTAGGAGTGTTTGACAAGCTTGGCGCGAGCAGCTTGCTGCACATATGCAAACATCCGTGCAAGTTGCAGGCAGAAGAGTTCTGGCCAGAAGATGATGAACAGGAAGAGGAGAGGGGTATGATTGAACTTGTATTGGGACCGGTGAACCAGGGATCACCAAATGTGATCAGTTGTGCATGCTTTTTGCGAAAGTTGCAGGCAGACGAGTTTTGGCCAGAAGATGATGAACAGGAAGAGGAGATGGGTATCTCCCAAATCTGATACTATGGAAAGTTGTTGGTGTGGTAAACTATCCTTTTGAATCATAAACCGGCAGCGAAAGGATCCGGCAAAGTTGTGTGAAGGCGCGGTGGTTGAGAGCTGGAAGGAGCAGTCGTAGCCAATTGTTGCGACACATAACATAGCGCCTTTGACAGATGTACCGGTTGAAATGTTCACGCTTGCTGTCAACAGATGCAGAATCTATAGCATCAACTCCTGTATACAGAATCAATGTCGCATGTCCAACTACCCTTCCACGTTTCATCCACCTTGTGGTCAAGCCTGGCAGCCAGGCAAGGTATCCAGTCCGCAAGTGCTCCCACCATGGGCACAGCAGGCGAGGAACCCAAAATTTGTGGGAAACTGTGACAGACTTCTGACAATTGAGATTTTACTACAACACTACGGTGGCAGGGTCGAATTAGACGACAAATGACTACAGTATACAGTATACAAGTTAAGCATACTGTGCTATCTTCCTGGGTGGACATATTTTTGTGGTCGCTTTCTCACATGTTTGCGACACACCAGGTTTCCCTTGCCCCCAGAGGAGTTTGGTTGACGATCGGTACTTCTCACAAATGTGTCACACTGTGTGGTAGAACTGTTGAACTATTGGACAATATTATATAGATATATCCAATGCAGACTTCTGGTGTATGTTGGCATCCTGATGGAAGGCTGGAAAAAAAGGAACGTGGAATGACGAGACCGCTGTTTTTAGCATAGGGTACCATCGAGAGGAGGATATCGTTTTAGTGTAAGGGGTTGAACTATTTGCAGTAGAAGTTCTTGCAAGTTCTTGCGATCCACCTGAATTTAAGCACTGGCCCTTCAGACGTGCATATGACGGGAGCAATTGACGGTCTAGCATGTGCAGGTGGATCTTTGTCGCCTCGACACACTATCATCCAGCAACATGTGAGTCAAACTTCCCTTGGTATGTTATTCTCATGATGTGTTTTTCAAGGTTGGATTTATGCCTTGAGGCAAATTCCAAGGATTGCCGAGCTTTCTGGAAGATTGAACTTGTATTGGGACCAGTGAACCAGGGATCAATCACCAAATGTGATCAGTTGTACATGCATTTGCGAAAGTTGCAGGCAGAAGAGTTCTGGCCAGAAGATGATGAACAGGAAGAGGAGAGGGGTATCTCCCAAATCTGACACTATGGAAAGTTGTTGGTGTGGTAAACTATCCTTTTGAATCATGAACCGGCAGCGAAAGGATCCGGCAAAGTTGTGTGAAGGCGCGGTGGTTGAGAGCTGGAAGGAGCAGTCGTAGCCAATTGTTGCGACGCATAACATAGCGCCTTTGACAGAGTTATGACCCTATGGCCTCAGATGTACCGGTTGAACTGTTCACGCTTGCTGTCAACAGATGCAGAATCTATAGCATCAACTCCTGTATACAGAATCAATGTCGCATTTCCAACTACCCTTCCACGTTTCATCCACCTTGTGGTCAAGCCTGGCAGCCAGGCAAGGTGTACAGTCCGCAAGTGCTCCCACCATGGGCACAGCAGGCGAGGAACGCACAATTCGTGGGAAACTGACAGGTTTACTGTGTGGTAGAACTGTTCAACTTTTGGAAACTTCCAAGGGTGTATGTTGGAACCTGTCAAAAACATATCAGCTCGCATCAGCTTCTTTAAACCCGTGTACCCACTATCAAGCCCAACAGCGCAACAGCACCTTTGTGAAGCTTCAGGTAGAGAAGAGAGAGAAAGAGGACGACAAACTGGATCAGGACGAGATGGGGCGTATTGCAATGAACTTCAAACCCTTGAAACAAAAACGAACCAAAAGGCCTAGGGCCTACAGGCTAATGGGCCTCGCGCACAAGCTGCAGCACCGATTTTACTATCAAGACCTGGACCAAGATTCGCCTTACAAATCGGTTAAACAAGTCTGAGATTCATGGGGGTATAGTCAAACTGAGGGTCATAAGTACAGACCCAGGAAACCACAGGATTTGCTCTATTAAGCTGGATTGTGCAACTGATTGTTTCACCTGCCGAAAATTGTGCTACTTTCACTGCTTTCCTCATGTTTCCTTTGCAGGAGGTGGGAAGTGTTGCTTGCATCTTGGTGACTGGATGCGCCCACACGACGGTGGCGCACATCGTCCGCGGCACATTCACCGTCAATGGGCAGAATCATGCGCGGCCAACCTACAAGAAGGATACCAAAGTGAACGGCTTGGACGTGCAGCCGCCCGGTGAATGAATCCGACGTGCAGGTCGTTGTGCTCAGCATGCCTCGGTGCAACAACGACGAAAGGAACGACCTGCAATTCGTTCTTTCGAACGGCCTGAGGCCCATGACCGAGAATCGTTCGTTCGCACGAGAATATGTTTGAAGCTTGAAGCCACAAGCACGGTCAACACAGTGCTTGGCAGCTTCCGAGGCTCTACTACTGGGATGGCAGCGATGATCCGGCATTTTGCGGCTGGTGGTTTGGTGCTAAGGCCCGTGACGCTGCCGTTGTTTTTCTTGTCTATAGACCATCCAAGAAAAACCAACCGTTCAACCTAGTTGTTGACGTACGCCGTTCGAGTGGTTCCGTGTGTATACACTTGTTCGTTGTTTCTTTACCATGAGAAGGTTCCGTGAAAAGGGATATTGGCAATTAGTGGAGGAGGAAAGCAGATCTTCATGGTCCTCTACAAACGACAGCCATGCACGACTCTCTAACACTCTCCCAAAGAATTCGACATTTGAGAGTACAGAAGCTATATAGAGTAGGAAGTTTTCATGCGGGAGACACCCACAAGCTTTCCCAGTTCGCTCCCGACGTTTCAGCATGCTTTTCCCGACTTTGAAAAGGGCCATATATGACGTTTGGGCATCCTTCCAGGTGGGCGGCAATGACGTTTGGGCCTACGCCGCGTCCAGTACCTTGACGCCGCCGAAGACTGGATGGAGAGTCCCGAGCGACGGTCCGGTGGACAGCAGTTTCCTCCTCTCAGCCACGGACCGGCCCGGGACCGGCCCGGAACGGCAGCCAGGGAAGTGGTGGCAGATGCAACAAGTAGGCTGCTACTGTAAGTAAGCCTCAAGTCTTTTGGAATCTTTGAGTGAGGTTGATTTCGGCAGGTGCTTTGTACCAAATGTATCCAAATGTAGGTGTTTGTTTCTTTGGTATCACACGCGTCTTTGACCTAGCTTGCCCAATCAATTTCCCCTTTGACTGCTAAACCGAACGGATGGGCATATTTTGGACTCACTTTAGACTGAGATGAAGCAGTTCATTCATCAATCAGGGATTCCTGCCTGTCACAGCTGCCTCGGAACGTGGTTCAGACGTGTGCCTGTCGAGACAGACGGTCTACATATATATATATATATATATTAACTCTTAACATGTTGATTCTTTGATAATATTAATAACAATATATGTTAGTACCAGTGTTTGATCAACCCCCAACATGTTTGAGCATAGCTCAGTTTCCCTAAAAATCTAGGAGCCAAATGAATCGTGCCCAGACAAGCATCATGCGTCCAGAAATCCATAGCCTTTGGAAGTGACAGTTTGTTCATGAGGAAGTGACAGTTCAGATGTGTTTGACTTGGTTATTGTTTGGGCTCTGGAAACCATATTTGTATATGAAACCTGTTTGCTAACTCAAGGTTTTCCTAATATCAACCATTTCCAGGTGGCAACAAGTCTCAATGAATAATGTGTTTATCCATGTTTATCCTCTTTGTTGTTTTCTCCTGGAGCCTTCATTCTTTGCTGTGCTGGACCCCTTTCCTTGCTCACAGGAGTCTGGACCTCAGCTTTACTTGGGAGAAAGGAATGATAAACTGAACTACGTACAAACTCTCGTGCATGCATTGACTTGCATTTCATGTTTTTGAGTCCTGGGTTCCAAAAAATGTTTGTTCAAACTGGCCAGTCAAAAGTTCTTTTTTCAGGGGAGTGGAGTGGGCAGACTCATTGCTGGAGAACAGAAGCCTAGCTGTGTTATGTTCAGCTTTGAGGTTCAAACTTAAAGTAAACAACTTGTTCACCAAAAGTGCAATCAAAGTTGCAGTGTATAGCTCACTTGAGTTTACAGTTGTTGAATCCTGCAATCCTTAAGTTCTTTTTGTTTCTTTTGGAACCGGTTATCACTGCCTTCTACTGCGAAACCCCTTGTGTGTGAAATCTACAAGTCTAGAATCTAGAAAGGTTGGATTGTCCATCCACAACTATCATAATCCATCCACAACTATCATCATGATACAATATGTGTACCTACCAGGATGTATTGTATAGTTCAATCATGTGTTTCTTTACTAGGACTAGGACACATATATCTCTGGACCAAATGTATATTTTCCAGGACCTATGTCCTGGGACCATATGTTTACTTACCAGGACCTATGTCCTCATATGTATAGAACCTACGTCCTGGATCATATGTATAACTCACCAGGACTTGTGTCCTTGGGCCATATATATATATATACTTACCAGGACCTATGTCCTTGGGCCATATGTATAGTTACCAGGACCTAAGTCCTTGGGCCATTTTCTTTACCAGGACCTATGTCCTTGGATCATATGTATATTTGCCAGGACCTATGTCCTTGGGCCATATGTATACTTGCCAGGACCTATGTCCTTGGGACATATGAATATTTACCAGGACTATGTCCTTGGATCATATGTAAATTTTCCAGGACCTATGTCCTTGGGCCATATGTATACATGCCAGGACCTTGGGTGTTGGGAAAAAACAATAAAACATTCACAAGCAAACCAACGCACAGAAGAAACATAGGCATCAATATGTTTATACAGCTAGACATGTAAGTGAATAGATGCTAGATAAAAACCATAGATGATTTGTAAATAGTTTGACAGTAGGAATATAGACCAATGATAGCTAGACGATAAACTTATGACTGCCAAACTAAATATATGTGTATATATGCCTAAATGAATCACGCGCTCAAATGGATCAATACACTGGCAGTTAAATCATTAGTTAGATCAATCAATAGATCAATAGATAAATAGCCATTGAGATTTAGATCAATATAAATAAAGATAACGAAGAGGTAGGTTTGCAAAGGCCAAATGGACAAACAGACAAAACAAAAACAGGATACAACACATGTAGTAATGCAAAGATAAAACCATTCAACTGAGATTATCTTCACCAGGTCTTATGTCCTCAGGAAATACATAAACATATAACATTTATATATATATATATGAATAAACATATATATATATATATCCCCAGGACTTATGTCCTGGACTAAGGATCACTCAGGACTTATGTCCTGGACTAAGGATCACTCAGGACTTATGTCCTGGACTAAGGACAGCACTGCAAACAGTAACTAGTCTGCCGCACAGGCAGTGTCCCGAACAGGGACCTTTTTTGTCTGTCAGTTGCTCGTCTTGGTGATGACCATTTGGTGCCTTGGCATGTGGCGGCTGCGGACCGGGGGTGGCTGTGGACAGGGTTTCACTACCTACCTATCTACCTGTATATACCAAATCATACATTCCACCTTCTACATCTTTACTTAGCTCTGGGGGAAGATTTTCTAATCAGCACCATTCTATTCTACCCACCCCTATGTCCAACCTTCAGTTCCAGTAATGATGGATTTGGTTGTCAACACAAACTTCTCTCATGCGTTTGAAACATGACATTTTGTTCCATCAAAATGATTTAGGAGATCCATAGGTTGCCTTATTGGGATTCCCTGAAAATAGAAACAAATTCGGGCAAAAGGTGTCTGCTTTTATTTGGGGTGAGTGCATAATGAAAACACATAATATTTGTTTACAAATGCATTTGGTTGCAGTCCATTCAAAAATGGACAAAGTGTGCTGATAATCTACTGATGGACTGATATAATCTCAAGGCATTATCTGAAATGCATCCCATGCTGATTGAAGAAGGTTGCAAATCAAGGTGCCCATTGGTGAAGCAGCACGCAATACCCTTGAACTTGTTGGCTTTGAGGTAGTGATAGTCAAACTGGCCACCAATAAACCAGTTGTTCTTCTCAGCTTGGTAGAACAAGGTCCTCAGAACGATTTGGTAAATTCAGCAAACATGGGCTGCCCCAAGGAAGAGCGAAAGGCACTGTTTGCTACTTCAGCACAAAGTGCCCTTTAAACATGAGATAAGCATCATCTTTTGATGATCCAGGTCTTTCAACTCAAGAATCGATGCCTAAGTTGCCAGTGAGAACACAAACCTTTGCTTACTAAGCATGATCGAAGAAGGTTTTGGAACACATGTCATAAGGATTGGTGCCATGTAGATCAGCATTCACATACTTGGTATAGGTGTAGATAATGAACAAAAGGAAATTTGGCATCATTGATGAACAGCATGACAAGTGCCATTCCCTTTGTAACCAAAGCCAAGGTGCTAAAGCAGTTGCACGAGTGCCTGCTACACTGCTTGATGAATTGCCGGCTTCCTCAGCAAGTTCATAGCTTTTGATGGGGCAATAGGCGCAGCACTAGGGATATTCATATTTTGATATTCTGCATGTTCACACTAAGACCAAGCTACAGGTGCTTCATTCAGCTTCTGCCTTTTGTGTCCAGTCTCAGTTCAACAGGTGGAAGCTAATGACAGCAAATGATTTTCAAGGAATACTGACTATCAAGTTCCAATTTGAAGTGATGTTCTGCAGGAATGATAGCAGCCAGGGAACCTGTTGCAGTGAAGATTTACCTGGAACCATCAAGTTATCCTGAGTACTGTCACAAAGTCCATCCTGCCGGAATTTGGAAAGTCCATTGTCTAAAACATACAGTGAGTAGCAAGGATTATTGTGTATTGCTTGCTTGTATTTTGATATGGTTTTCATTCTTGCAAATTATGCTTAAATGGTTGTTGAGCCCCTCTTCATATGCAAATGATCTAGAAAAGATTCATTATATTTCCTACACGCCTAACATGCTACATTTTGGAAGATTTACACCCTATGGACAAAATAATGATAAACATGTCTAAACACCCAGCTGCCAAGAGACTTCTGGCACAACCTCTGGGTAATCAGAGGCCACAATCCAGGCCAAACTTCTCGGCATTGCCTCAACACACATTTGTCCGGGAAGCGCATGCAAAACTATCCTTCCCATTGCCAGGCTTCATTGAGCTTGACAAGTGCACGCAGGTCTATTAGCATGTTCAATTCCTTGCCTTAGATAGTTATGAACATGGTCAACTGAGTTTTTGGTCCAATAATGATGTGCACAACTGCAAAAATAAACATTCTAGTGGTTCTCAGCTACACCCTCCCCTGAGTAGTTCATAGAGAAATGATACCTGCAAGATGTAGAAAACAATGGTAAATGACCAGTAGTTGAGGCTGCCTCACTCCATATCACTACACCATAGGGACCTTTTCCTTCGGACCCCAATACACTTGACCTGCGCAAGACTTATTCATTCTTGATCTAACCCTTACATTCACAAACATGCCCAAACCAAATTCATAGTATGTAGTTAAACATATTTATTGCAGAAGTAGACCTGGATGAAATACAAAAACAAACACACACACAAACATATATATATATTTTTACACATATATTGAAACACACATATACACCTTAGATGTTTATCAAAAATGCACATCTCAGCACTGGCCAATCTAATATTGACATGGCTTGTGGTATGCACACCTTGTGATGGTCGCAAATAAAGCTGAGGAGCTTGAAGGGCTACAATGTCTGGTGCCTGAGGTGGTGCAAGCTGAAGTTATGAGCTTCTCAATCCTTTTGTGCAAAGGTGTACAGTGTACAATCATGTAATGTGTAATGATGTGTAGGCTAAACTTTGATGAGCCTCACATGGTTGTTACTGAAAACAAAACATTGAACACTTGTAATCATGTTTTTGTCACTAGTGACATTATCTTCAAGGATGAAGGGGTAAGGCCACAATCAATGCCAAGACACAGAAGCTGGACGGTCGCTCTGAGGTGACTCTTGTGGTGGTCTAC